TCAATTACCTTTGCTGGAAAAGGCATTGGTCGTTGACCTCTCTGGATCCGGCTCTCTCAGAGGCACACTTGGTTCCCTGAGTTGAAATATTAACTACAGCCCAGAGGGTCTCAACCTGGCCACAGTGGAATCTGAGCCCTGGGTTCCATTTCAGATCCATTCCATCAGGCTGTCTCTAGAAAGTCTTTTTAGACAAAGAGTTCCCTGTGAGCTTCTAACGTGTGACAGGGTCGAAAACCACTGATAAAGCCCAAACTACAGCCAGCCTTTGAGAATAGCTTGAGTGCTGGCAGCAGCAAATGCGGTCTTCTTGGCACAGAGCAGGCCTAGGATCCTTGCCATCTTTTTTTTTTGAAATCCTCACTCAAGGTTATTTTTCCCATTGCTTTTCAGAGAGAGTGGAAGGGGGGGGGGAGAGAGAGAGGGAGAGAGAAACATCAATGTGTGAGAGACACATCGGTTGGTTGCCTCCTGCACCTGGGCCAGGAATCGAGCCTGCAACCCAGGTACGTGCCCTTGACCGGAATCGAACCCGGGACCATTCAGTCCCCGGGCCGAAGCACTAACCACTGAGAAAAACCTGCCAGGGGCTCCCTTACCATCTTATTGATGTTCTGTTTAACAGATAATTGGAAAATACTTAAAAGTGAGGAAAGGCCTTGTCGATTTGGATTTGCAGCAACTGAGCAGCCTTGCCATTTCCTTCTGTGCAAGAAACTCTGAGCTAAGCGAATGAACTTGTATTGTTTGCTGGCATTCCTGTCCAAACAGAATTTGCCAGTCCTCAAACAAAATAAACATGTTAATGACTTCAGCAACAGTGATGGATGCAGAAGCTTTCCACAGTTCCTTAGCAACCACTAAATATAATAGTGTAATTATTTCTGTTGTTAAAGATGACTGTTGTCAGCTTAGCACAATAATTGGAACAGAACTTCCCATAAGAAAACTGCTCTTTTCCTAGGCCTTCAACTGATAACAAAATGACAGTTTATGAGGGCAAATAATGCCCCATTATTCAGGTGAGAGAGGCCCACCAGACACCCTGCAATCAAAGAATCTGGGATGAAGCCTTCAATGACCGTCACATCCATAAAGCAGCTCTGTCCAAATGGGAGAGTTTCAACTGTTGCAGGCAAGGCCCACACCTGCTTATTAAGGCCTTCAAGGAAAGTGTGTGCTACGCCGTTTGACTTTGGTAGCTCCCCCAGAGCCTTGTTGTTCCTGGGCCTAGCTAAGGGGTGACAACGTCAGTCTCCTCCACTCAGCAATTCTCAATGAGTGGTTTCTAATAGAAAAATCTCCTTTTAAGAATCCACTTTTCCTATTTTCTCCCATTCTGGGTAAGAGTTGGCAGTCTTTGCATTTTGGGAAAGTTAGAGCACCCCACCCCAAAGTGAATAATAAAATAATGTGAAGTTATTTAGTAAAATCATCACAAAATTCTATTTGGCAGTATCGAAAACATGGACGGTTCCTCAAGAGCTCAGTAAGGTCAAAGGTCAGGAGAGGCCAGAGCTGAGAATCAAGCTACTGAACTGGATTTGTGGTGGAGGGCAGGGATTGTGTCCTCCTATTCTTTGGAGAATAGGCCTGAGAGCCAGAAACTATTCCAGAGCTCCTTTCAGCAGGAACACGCTAATCCTCACCTGAGGATGTTTTTTCCATTGATTTTTAGAGAGTGGAAGAGGGGGAGAGGGAGAGAAACACTGATGTGAGAAAGACGCATCAGTCGGTTGCCTCCTGCACGTGTCCTGACCGGGGATCAAACCTGCAACCAAGGTACATGCCCTTGCCCCTAGGAGTTGAATCCCTAACCCTTTGGTTCATGGGCCGACGCTCTAACCACTGAGCAGAACTGGCCAGGGCTACTTCTTGTCTTCTTGGTGTAGCCAAATGTAGACTGGAGGATATGTACAGAGAACAGGGGGAGAGGAGCCCTTAAACTTCTTTCTCTACCAGCCATGGTTCTGTGTTCATGAGTTGAGGACACGACACTTCCTCTGGACCCATTCGCATGTTCATTTGGGTCCGATATCTGCCATTATACCTGTTCTGTGCTTCTCTCGTTAAGACTCGAGAGAAACATTTCAGCAGATTCATCATGAGTAGGTGTAGGAATGTTTAAAGGAAAAACAAATCTCTTTATCTGCATGAGGGTTACTGTTACTCAACTGTGTCAGGACCTGGAAAAAGGCTCAGGGGGTGATGACCACTATCTTCAGTCATCTCATGGTACACAGAGAAATGTCCCACCCCCACAGGATGTCCACATCCTAATCCTCAGAACCCGGGAATGTGCTGTATTACACAGCAAGAAGGAATGAATGTTGCTGATGAATTTTAAATAGCGCTAGTTTCCTGAATTATCCAGGTGGGCCCAATGTAATCACAAGGGTCCACATAAGTAGAGGAGAGAGGCAGAAGTGTCACATAATGTGATGTGAGAAGCACTGACTGGCCATCGCTGGCTCTGAAGATGGAAGGGGGCCACGAGCCAAGGAATTCAGGCAACTTCTAGAAGCTGGGAAATGCAAGAAAATGGATTCTCCCCCAGAGCGTCTGTAATTTTAGCCCAGTAAGATCCATTTTGGACTTCTGACACCCAGAACTGTAAAATAATAAGTCTGTGTTGTTTTAAGCCACTAAATTTGTCACAGCAATAGGAAACTAATACACACCTATTCGACATCTTTCATCTATCCTTAATCCCTAGGTACCTGACACAGAAGCCAGCAGGCAAAGCAGCTTGCCTCCGTGGTGTTAATGTTGATTTGTGGTTGGGCTAGTAAATGGTATCTTGCCGACATCTGTCCAGTGGAATATGATTCCAGACGAGAGAGACTGGTTATCTCCTCAAGCCATGTAATGAGTCAGGTCCTGCCGCATGCGTAGCAGATGATGACAGGTTTTCTCTGAACTGGGAAATTTTAGAGTGACAAGGTCATAAACAGGTGAAAGGTCTCCGTGGAAAGGGTAAAGTATCCCAATTCTTTCAGGTATGGATTCATTCTTGGAAAGTGGAAGGTTATATTTCAAATATTTTACTTATGTCTGAAGTCTGCTTTTATTAATATAGTTCAGTAACCGCACAAGTCAGTTCCTTTCCCTGCCTCCCAAGACAGATAATGAAGGGAAGGAGCATAAACATTGCTTCTAGGAGACAATACAAGCCAACCCTACTCTGGACATTTCTCTTCACGTTTCCCACATTTGGTCACCTGTGGCTGAGATTCAGCTAATGTGGTGGGGTGTTCTAGAATATAAACTATGGCAGTTCGCGAGGGCCTAAACTACAGATTCGTTAGCACCTACAGATATGCATGCCTCTAGTAACATTTTCAAATTCTGTTGGTTATCTATTGGTTTTTACTTGATGGTTTCTTAAAGAATTTGAGCACGATGTACTTTGGTGCTTATGAGTTGTCACGTTTTGTTTGAAAAGCATCTCCGTGGGAGCCTTCTTTTTAAATTTTTTAAATATGTCTTTATTGATTTCAGAGAGAGGAAGGGAGAGGGAGAGAGAGAGAAACATCAATGATGAGAGAGTCATTGATCGGCTGCCTCCTGCACGTGCCCGACTGGGGATGGAGCCCGCAACCCGGGCACGTGCCCTGCGATCACCTGGATCCTAGGTCGGTGATCAACTGCTGAGCCACGCCGGCTGGGCTTTGTTTTTTTAACCTAACAGCCCCTGCTGAATACCTAGAGAAGTAGCCTAAACATTCAACCTCAGTAGCCAATAAGAGCTCCAATACAAGAGGACTGTGTGTGTGTGAGCATTTTTTGATAGTGTACCTGTTTCTCTCAGGTGTATTTATTAACAAAGGCTATTTCCCTTTGGGGCAAATGTCAGAGTTCTTAAACATGAGGTTTGTTATGCCTCACAACTGATTGTTTTGCCCTTGAAAACATTTCTGAGGTATCACGGGAGTCAACAAAACTCCAAATACAGCCTGTCAGAATGCTTTTGATCTGTGTGGCAGAGCCAAGTAATATGATCTGTGAATAACAGGTGTTCTGTTTTTAAAGGAATTCCTTTGCTGACTACAGGCCTGGCGTTATGTCTTCTAGAGTCTGGGTTAATGTTAGAACTGGTGTCATTTCAAAGAGCTAAACCTCAGCAGATGGAGTTAATAGAAGCCCCTAGATTCGGCTAGTGGAGGGCATGGGCGCAATTCTCGGAACATGGGCAGGATGTGTGTGTGGGGTGGGGGGCTCTGCCTTAATTGTTGACATTTGGGATCCTGATTTAATGCCTCCACCCCCGTGTATCAGCTTCCAGCTGACCCAAGGAGCTTGTTTCCAAAGATGGAAAAGTGATGGAAATGGCAGGGCCCCACATTTCCACGCAGGTGGAAAGCATTCACCAGGTGTGAGAAAGGTGGGTGGAGCCGGAGACTCTGTAGCGTCTCACGGGTGAAGGCAGCCCTGGATGTTGGCAGTTGTGAAGGCCCCAGGCGACCTCTCCAGTCCCCGCTCAGTGAGAGGTAAGCACAGTCACTCGGTGACAACCTCATAGCTGGAGAAGCTTCGGGACAATGCAGGCTGCCTCTTAAATGTAGAGACTTTACAGGCAAAGGAGACCTCAGGGACCATACGTCCAACCCGGCATTCTGCAAAAGCAGACGCTGAGGTCAGAGAAGTGGAGTGGTTTGGCCAAGGGCACAAAGCAAGTTGGTGGGGGATCCTGCAAGGAAGGCGGAGCCCCGACGGGGCTCCCCACATGACCTCCCCCGCGGGAGGGTCCGTTCCTAAGTAGCTTTTAAGTCGGGCGCAGGCCCTTTGGCAGCTCCACGACTGTGCCCCGTGCTGCACAGCGCAGTCTGGTCCTTAAGTGCTGGGGACACAGCCGGGCAGAGCCGGGACAGCTGCTACCCATGTATTTTTGCACACTTTTGAGAAACACAACAGGCAAAAGTGTATTTCTGTATCCCTTTATGTATAAACAGGTGGGAGCAGGAGTGTGTTGGGAGCGGGAGGGGCGGGGTAGGGGTAAGGGCCGATTCCAGTAGTTTGCGTGATTCAGCACCAGAGCAAATGCTTGGGCAGGAGGTCGAACTTGAACCCAGGTAAGTCATCGTCATCTTGTGTTATATGTACAGCGCAGTCTTAAGTGGTATGCTTTTCTTATGGCTTTGTCCTGGAACACGTTACAGTGACACAACAAATCTCAAGTCTAGAGGGGAGAAGCTATAAGTGCCTCATGAGCTCATGGCCAAGACTGGTGCGGAACGGGTGCGTGAGGCACAGCAACGCCTCTGCCCCGCTCGGGCTCGTCTAACTCAGCTGGGTCTGCGCCCCCGGCTTGCGTCCTGCCCTGGGGTACAGCTGGGTGCGCAAGTGGGGCCTGACGGAGAGCAAACAGATCCGCGCTCCTTCCGTCCCCCCCTCCAAGGACGCTCAGTAGCTGCAGCCCCGCAGCTGAGTCTCTTCCCCACAGAGCAGGTCAGAAGGTGGGCCGCGGTCTTGGGGTCACTCTTCTTGAGGTTGATCCCCTTTTCCTTCGTAAGGTCCCGGCACACGGGAGCTGGCTTCCCACAAACGGGCCCTTCGATGTGACCATGACATTACAAGTCCCCCGTGGGTTTAGCAGGTGGAAGGGTGAACATCTGCGTTCAGGGTCCCCAGGAGGAGGGTGTGGCAGCTACTGCAGACGTGCTGAAATGGGGAAGCCGGGGGGCAGGGGATCCACATCCCGCATGGGTACCCATGGACTTTGGGGGTCCGTGAAAGGAAGCCTGCCTCCTTCAGCTGTTGGGGGACCGTGTAACACTTGAAAGCGGAGAGGAACTACTCTCCCACCCGCCCTCCTTCATTTAACCTGCCCCCTTCCACAACCCTAAGGGCTGTGTTCTCATGGTCAGTCCGAAGCTTCCTTCCCTTTCTGGAGCAAAAGAATCCTCCCTTGCTTTTTGTCCTTTCTGCTGACCTCCTCCCGCTTGCATCATACTGTGTACATCTCTCACTGCAGCCTCCGCCCACAGTTGGCCATTACTGTTGACTGGCCGGTCCAGAGCAACCCCATCTCCTCCTGGGAAGGGGGTGGCCAAGAGAAACTGAGGGCCAGAAAGCATCAAGTATTGGGTTGCAGAATCCCCCCCTCCTCAGTCTTGTAGCCTTAGGAGGTGTTGTTAGAGGTCAGGAGGGGACAATAGGTGAGATTTAGAACCCACCTGTGGGTCTTTTGGGCCCATCTCTGGAATATCCCAGGCATTGGGCATTTCCCATAATTGGCAGCTATGATGGCACTGAGTCTGAGTCACATAAATGGCACCTGTCAGTAGGGGCTATAAGGCCTCCAAACTTACAGTCAGCCTGATACATCAACAACCGCACACTATTTGCTCCAGAGCAGGATTCAGGAAACAGTGGATCTGTCTGCCCTGGGCGTCTCTCCAGGCACCTCTCTTCCCTGTTTCTCACCTTGCCTCGCCCAGCTGGGCTCCTCATCTTTTCACTGCCATGTCACCCAGCTGCAGCAGCAGGCATACAGTTTGCCCTGAGTGCATGACTGAAGAGAGACCAGATGGGCCTTGCTTTCTCTGCAGAGCAATGCTCTAGGCCTGGACTGCAAAAAGAACATTTCTTCTCACATGCCATGTTCCTGACAGCTCCCTGTCCCACATGAGTGTTCGGCAGAGTTCTGGAGGAAGTGCCAGGAACAAGCCGGCTCAGCCTCACGCTTTCACTTCCCAGTAACCACTCATCTCCAGGTGGGCAGGGAGGTAGTTCAACCCCAACACAAGGGGGAAAGGCATGCCGCCTCCTTCACTGGTTGTCCCACTTGTCACCTAGAAGGTCTGTTTCTTTCACAAGAGATGCTGGGCTCTGTCTCTGGCTTTACTGGGACAGCCAGGCGATGCTGCTCCTACCCAACAGTGTGGTTCTACATCTTGACTACCTGCTCACTTCCTTCCTTTGATGAGGGCACTAACTTCAAACAGCCTCCCTTCACTCAAAACTCGGGTGGGAGGCCAGAGAACAACATGCTAATTTCCTGGTTGGCCCAAGACATTTCTACAGGAATCCAGGGTGAGCTTTTGACAAAGTGCCCAGGTCACAAGGAAACCAGAGAGCCCTTGAGACCGAGGATTTCAGCAGGGTTATTGGAGTGACAGCAGGAGAGGAGTATATTGTAAAATGCCACCACTATGTTTTTGGGGTTGTATATGGTCTGTACCGTGGATGGCATGTTGCAGGTAGCACCCCCTGTTGGTATACTATGCAGTTGGTACATCAGACTGTTACTTGAGGTCTATGAAACTGTTCACTGGTCCTTTAAGGAGAAGCTTCAGGACAATTTACCACCTGCTAAGCCTGGAGCCAGAGCAGAGCAGCTGCACTTGCCTTTGCTATAGGATGTTTTTCTTTATTGCGTTTCCCACAAATTAAGGTAATTTGGGGAAGACAGTGAAAAACCCATGATGAAAGAGTACCACCACGGGCCCGTTAGGCCTTACGTGGCGCTGTCCTTGACAAAACTGTCCCTTGAATAAGAAGTTAAGGGTTACAGTAGATGACCTTTCCTATATCTGGCCTAAAGCGAGGCTTTGTGTAGGCGCCACATTTCTGGAACTGGGAAGAACGGATGCGTTGCGGTGCTGGGCCTCGGCGGCTGAACTGCGAAGGTTGGCGCTTGCCTTTGACTCAGCTGTTTCTCTTGGGGACAGGTTAATCGTGGCAGAGCTTGGGTGGCAGGGGGCAACGTGCAGGGCCCCTGGGAGCCGGCAGTAGCGGGTTGAGGGAACAGCCGCTTCCACGGGTGTGTACTTGGGGAGGTGTGAGGACCAAAGCAGAAGGCACCCCACGGGGGCAGGCCTCCGGGGAGCTCTGCACCTCTCCTTGGCAAGGTCAAAGGTGAGCGGCCCTAAGTGACGCTACGAAGGTTTGTACAGGTTGTCCGGCTGGAGACCTCCATGCAGAGTCCGGGCGCAGGGCTGAGCGGAGGCTGAGGGACAGCTGGTCCCAGGGCCTCCCCTTAGCGGGCCGCAGCTCCCGCGCTGTCACCCTGCAGGCGCCACCCAGGCTTCCCGGGGTCCCCGCCCTCCTCCCGGCCTTTACTTCTCGTCTTCGTCCCCCTCACTCAGGCTGCTGATGGAGGCGGAGGCGGCTTTGGGTGAGGAGGGCGGGGAGGTTTTGATGGGGAGCCACGAGAAGGTGGGCGACGGGGAGCGCGAAGGGGACCGGCTCCTGGTGGGGCTGCTCACGGGGCTCTGCTTCGGGGACAGGGCCTGCAGCATCCGGCTGCTCCTCTCCTGGAACATCTGCTTCTGGAGAGAAATCGGAGAGAAAGCGTGTGTCAGTCGGCCATCTGCGATGGCAGCGGGACAAAGGAAAGGCAGAAAGGGGGGCCCCCAGCGTGTGCGCCCCCAGGATGGCCAGCACTCGGGGGGAGCTGCGTGCGATTGGGGCGCAGCGACCTGCGACACACCCGAGCACCAGCACTGCTGGCTCCTGGCAGCTCCTGCAGGCCCTCTCCCTCCGTCTACGAAATCTAAGCAAATGCCTCTATTTACCAGGCAAAGAGCAATGTCACAGGTACCGGAAGGGTAGAAGGAAAGAAAACAAAAGTCCCTGTCCTCGTGGCTACGGGAGGAATGGCACAAACATGGCTATCGGGAAGACCAACAAAAGATGTACTATGGGAGCGGAACCAGAGTCTGTGAGAAAAAGCAAATAATACTGATGAGAGAGGGCCCGGCCGGTGTGGCTCAGCGGTTGAGCATCAACCCATGAACCAAGACATCACCAGTTGATTCCCCTTCAGGGCACAGGCCCAGGTTTGGGGCTCGATCCCCAGTCGGGGGCGTGCAGGAGGCAGCTGATCAATGACTCTCATCATTGATGTTTCTTTCCCTCTCCCTTCCTCTCTCTGAAATCAATAAAGATATATTAAAAAATAAAAGATGAGAGAGGGATGTGAGCCTGCGGGCACGTGGGCAGCAATTGCAAATAGGATGCTCTTGGGAGGCTCCCTGACAAGGTGCTATTTGAGCAAAGCCCTGAAAGAGATGAGGGAGGAGGCACATTCCAGGCAGAGAACACAAAGGAGGGCGCATGTAGTTCACGTCCAAGGAGGAGCAAAGAGGCCATGGTGGCTGGAGTGGAGTCTGGTGGCTGAGGGGCATGGACGGGGGAGGTGAGGGAAGGTCACCAGAAAAGTCACAGTGAACTGTATCATGTAGGGCCATGCGAGAATTTCAGCCTTGACTCTGAGGAGGAGAGAAACCTCTGGAGAGATCCTTTGCCTCTGGAGTTCTGAGCAAAAGAGGAACAAACTGGCTTTGGGTTTAAAAGGACCACTCTGTGGTGCTGGGAGTGGGCTTCAGCAGGGCAGGGGAGGGGCAGGGAGACGATCTGGAGCCGTCTGCAACGAGAATCCAAAGCTGTGCTGGGCCAGGGAGATGGCCATGAGGATGGTCGGGGTCCCATTATGTTCTTTTGCCATCGTTTTATTAAGGTATCATTTACTTAAAGTAAAACTTTCTACTCTGTGAGTTTTGATAAATGCCTACGGTTGTGTGATTACACCACAAACAAATGATAGGAATGTTTCATCAGCGCCTGGGGACCCTTTCTAGTCACCCCTCCCTCGCCGCTGGTGACAGGTCTGGTTTCTGTCGTGCGGCTTGGAAATGTCATCTCTGTGGAATCGCGCAGTATGTGGCCTGGCTGCTTGCTGAGGGCAGGGCCCACAGGACCCGCTGACAGTGGGAAGTGGGCTGTGGGGGAAGAGGGAGCGGGTGACTCGTTTCTAGCCCGTGAAACAGAAGCCGGCGATGCCATTTGTTGGCACAGGGGACTGGGGGGTGCGGGAGGTTTGGGTGCTGAGACGGATTTTCCCGTCTGGGACCTCAGGCGATTGTTGCCTGGTGCTTTGGGAACCGGGCCCTTCCCTCACACTGCCCTTCTGGGGAGCCCGGGCCTGGCCCCGAGCCCTGCGTGCCAGGCCTCCCAGCGCTGCCAGTGCACCTACCCTCCTGCCCCTCCCCCTGCTCTCTGCCCTCATTTCTCGCCTTTGTTCCCCCCCAGACAGCCCCCAGCAGCCCTGCCCCGTCTTCTAGCCTCAGCCGGCCCTGAGAACCAGTCCTCCTTGAGCTGTTTTAGACTCTGCTTGTCTGAGTTCTTCATTTTACAAACCACTGCTGAGCCCTTGGGGACCAGGTGCCGTGCAGGAGGCGGTCACGTCTGAGCTGGGGCTTCAGTGCTACCCGGGAAGAGGGGTCAGGCGGGGAGGGAGCCCGTGGGGTGCAGGGCTCGCCGTCCAAGCCGAGGGACACGTGGGGGGTACTCAGGACCACTGCTTGCCTGGCATGACCAGAAGCCCGAGTGCATGTCGAGTGGCGGTAGCCTGGGACTGGAGCACCAGGAGGAGGTTGGATTTTTTTATTCCCAGTAGCCCCTGGAAGAGTTTAGTCAAGGGAGGGGTATGATCAGATTGGTGTTTTAGAAATATCTTTGGGTGTGAGCATAAAAGCAAGGAAAGAAGCCATACCGGGGAAAAAAATTAGTGTTTGGCTATATAAAAATTTCTGAACCTCAAAGAAGCCACCATGAAATGGGTAAAAAGCAAAAGAAAAAAAAAATGAAAAAATTTTGCAACATTTAACTACAAATGATAGATCTTGGTACATAAACAAAGCTTAAAAATCACGAAAAAGGTAAAAAACTTCACAGAAAAATGAGCATATGGCATATACACGCAATTCACAGAAGACTAAAAATGAACCATAAAAATGTTCAGCATCACTAGTAAACAAACAAATGCAAAATGATTGAAGTAAGAATTTTTAATAGATCAGACTATTAAAGATGTTTTAATCTTCCGGCTACAGTTGACATACGGCGCTCCAGAAGGTTAAAGTGCACAGTTCTGTGTTGTGATGTCTTTGGTGTTAGCATGCTTAGATTTCTTTATCATGTTCTTTTGTGCGATTACTGCAGGTTTTCCCCTGTGGCTACCATGAGGCTTGCGTAGAATATGTTAACATTATAACACCCTATTTTGAACTGATAACTTCAATGAAATCCCTAATCTTTATGCTCTCACTTTTCCTTACCCTGACATTTTAAGTTATTGATGTTACAGTTAACATTTTTTAATTGTGTAAACAATAACAGATTATTGCAATTCTGGTTATTTTTACTACATTTGTTTTCTAACTTTGAAATTAGAGTTGTAAGTGAATGATGCATCATTAGCACATTACAGAATCTCAATTTGACTATATATTTACTATTACCAGTGAATTTTATGCTACCTTCTCTTGGTGTTTTTTTTGGAGGGGGCGTTCAACAGGAGATGGAGGGGAGGATTCAGGGTTGTAATTTAAATTTTGTTCCATTTCTCTAGCTTATTTCACTAGAGAGTACAAAAACCTCTAGGTCCATCCATGTGGTCACAAATATGGCAGCAGGACAGGCCTAGGGCCTGCATGGTTTGCGTTTGGGGACCCGAACCAGGCAAGACTGTGCACTGAATTCCGTGACTAGACGGGGCCATCGGTTTTGTTCTGCAGATAGGGGGAGACAAGGGCCGCTGTAGCAGGGCTGTTGGATGGGCTGTGCAGCGTCCCGTGTGCTCTGCTGAGGCTCCCTGGCGGGACAGGCTGAAAGCCGCATTTGGCAGCGGGCAGAGCTATCAAGCGGTGTCCCTGCCTGGGCACAGGGGGACATCTAGCTCTGAAGCCAGAATCGGTCCACTCCGAGTGCTGCTGCGCTACCCAGATTTCCAGGGCCTATGGCCGGGCTTTCTGACTGGGCCCGGGGATGACTCAGCTCCCTTGCCTGGCAGAGGCAAACCAGGCTCCAGGCTCATAAAAATCTTTGTGTATCTGAGTGGGGCCAGCCTGCACCCCGCTGAGGTGCCTGCTCAGACTGCACCGGCCTTGGCCCCGCAGGGAGCAAATCTGCTGGTTGGGGCCGCCACTTGCGAGCTGCAGGCAGGAACCTGGTCTGCCAAGGTCGAGGTGCTGATGGCTTCACGCCCCCCCACTTCTCTGTCACAGTGAGATTCCCAGTGGTCAAGTGCTGCAGATTCCCCTGAGGGGCAAGGCTGCCGTGGTGGCTCCCAAGAAGTGACCTGCAATGAAGGGGCAGCTCAGCCCACCCTGGGCTCTTTCCCTGCTGAAGGAATCAGACTCAGGGGACCCCTGGGCGCGGGGCTGCGCCTGCCTGGGGGGCAGGCGGTTGGTTAGCATGTAGCCTCTCCTGTACCCCTTCTAATGTGGTGTGTCAGGGTCTCTGTGGTGCAGGGGGTGCTTGAGCCTCACCCACATGTCTGGGATCCTCCCAGGGGTGTCTTGTCCATGGAGAGTTGTTAATTCTTGTAAGGGGGAGCAAAATCAACGACGACCTATGTTGCCATCCTGGCGACATCCCTCCTAAGATTTTTTAAAGTTTGTAGTGGCCAGTGTTGGTGAGAGTTCAGTAGAAAGACCACACTCCCGCTACTGCTAGTGGAAGGGTAAAACTGCCCTCGTAAGGGGTAATTTGGAAATAGGTGCCAAAACTTTTTTCCTGGGGAGATAATCGGAGATGTAAATATTTATTGTGTACATAGATATTCAGTGCGGCGTCATTACAGACAAAAGTGAAAACTCCCTAAAGAGGTGAGAGAAGTCTTGCCCGTCCTTAAAGAGTATTTAATAATGTGAGAAAATGTTCATGAGCTATTACAAAGTAAAAATGACTCTAGAACACTATGTTCTGCATGATCCCAATTTTGTAAGAGGTAACGTATACAGGGGTGGGGCAAAAGGAACTTTACAGTTGTTCGTATAGAAAATAATACAATAATTAATAAATAATAATACAAGAATAAACCCTGTGTTTTGCATACTCACAACTGTAAACCTACTTTTGCCCCACCCTATATATGTACATGAGAAAAAGATTGGGGTAATAGCCCCAGAATATTAATGGTGACAACTCTGGGTGATGAGATTGCAGGCAACTTTTAGTCTCTTTATTTTATTATCCTTAATTGGTACATTTATAAAAATATAGATTAATGGTCCTGCGCTTAAATGTTCTTGTGGTTGTGTGCCAGCTTCCATAAAACATAAGTAATCATAAGGAGTTCCTCAACAAATATACTCCAGATAGAAGCAAAAAGATCAACAGAAATGACTGACAAGGGCCACTGCAGACAGAGTTCCTTATATAATTAAAACTTGCTAGAAAATGGACTTTGACAGTATTTACAATACACCAGCATTTGTGGAGGCTGAATGTCACAAGCATTTTAGTCTCCTTTTATTTTTTATTT